TTCTAATTTCAGAGTCTGGCAAAAGCCTCAAGTCAATCCTCCTAACAAGATCTCTCTAGAATTCTCTAGTCCTGACACACGGCCATGTCACCACCTCCAGGAGGTCCTTTCACACCTCTCTACTCCTGTGCCAGAAGGAAGCTAGCACACTGGGTGCACCTACAGGACCACCAGAAATGCGGGCTCTAAGCCTCTAAGAAGCTCTGAGAAGTGCTTCCCACTGCCTCGCCATTCCCTGGGACTTTAGGTCCTCCCAAACCCCTCCCGTGACTTCTTTTACTGCAAGGGCTGGGACTTCCCACACTGTTGCCCTAGCCTCTTTCCACAAGACCATAAGTCAGCCTGGACCTTCCCTCTGGCTTACCTCAGTTCCTTCCTCAAACCTCTCCTCTCTCCTGAAGCTAACCTTTACTTCCACCTCTTGACCCAATTCCTCTTATCCCTGCCAAGAGCTCTGGGCTAGGCAGGTCCACTGAGTGCTCAAGGTCCCAAGAGCTCACAGGTAACAACGGGCAGCTAAAACACTTGAGCTGAGGGCATGTGAGGACCACGCACTTAGCTCACATGTGACAGCCTTCCACAAACCTAATCTTGCCACACACACACGCCCTACGATCCATCCAATTTAGGATCTGTCCTCACTCTCTTTAGAACACTCTACTCTGACTCTTTTGATGAAACTGAAACATGTCACAAAACACCAAGAGATTGAGGCCAGGTAAACAGCTAACAGGTTCCACTCATCCTCATTCTCAGTTAATTAAAAGCCAACCTACTGCCCCAATAGCTGCTGCCTGCAGCTCAGAAGGCAGCTTAGGGGAGAGAGTGCTGATCTGCAGCCTTTTGTCCCTCTGTCCAGGGCAGAAATGAAGAGCCAGGCATGGTCATATTCATAACTTTCCTTTCCCTGTTAGGGACACTCATGACCAGAGTCTTAACCAAGTGGCTGACATACTAGAGACACAAGCACAAAGTTTAAACAAGGGGTGACTTTTATAGATCTGCAGCCTCTATCCTGGCATGACACTGGGCACAAGAACCTTGCTTGGGAATGATTGAAAACATTCATAATCTTGTAATCCAACCTGTGGAACCAGTTATTCCAAGCTGGGGGATTTCCAGAGCTTCACTCAAGACTGAGTCATTTCCCTTATAGGTGAAATCAACTGAGTCCGGGAGAGTGTAAGTACTTAATTTACTAAGACTCCCAACCAATACACAAACTGCTGAGATTCCATCACAAATGGCCAAGTCACCATCCAATAGGAGACTGCTACTATCCAGAAACCCCTGTGCTTCAAATAGGCAATCAATCAATGCCAAGCTTCATTTATTTATAAGACAGTATCTCCTTGTTCGGGTCTAAGGACATTGTTCTCTCATCAGGAGCTTTGAGGTAAACCACTGTGCTTCTTGAAACTGTGTGTATATCTGTGTATTTGTGCATATATGTGCTTGTGAGTGTATGTGTGCACATATGTGTGTGCATGTGTGAAAGAGTATGTGTATTCCTATGAACTCATGGTCTCTTGTTGTCACTGAGCCCTTGATTCTCAAACCTTTACCAGTGAAGTCACTGTTTCATGATCACCAAATACAAGGTTCTTTCGAGTTTCTGATACAAATGACTCACAAGTTTTATGTAGCACCTAAACTCTAGAGTCTCATTTGTTGGATTTCTTCTGACCAAGTGCATACAATCAGACACCTCAAAACCTACATCATTAAATTCTGACTTCTTAAAACTAAGAATATCACTGCTCTCCAAGTCAAAATTTCCAATACTTCAGAAGAGGTCTCTGTATTTAACTGTTCTGCCCCACATTTGTATTAATTGGTTGGATAAAACTAATAATAGGATCATCAAATATGTGTGTACACAAAATCAAGACACTGTATTTTTAAAAAATGGTATTCAGGTAGATTTTGATATGCTTAAGAAGACAAGCATTGTGAAACAGAACTGATGGATCAGCCTCAATTTAGGTTTATAAAAAATATTAAACAGTTCACTGCCCATTACAAGGAATAGCATCTGGAAAACAGACTGAAATCTCACTGCAAACCCAGTGTGATTCTCTTGGCTGCACGGGTGGGGATGAAAGGTAGGACAACACAACAACGTCACCTCAACTGTACAATGCCAAAGTCCAGACCAGGATGTGGCAGTGCCAGGCAGACCACACACACAGCAGTGTCCTTTCTTTCCAAATAAGTGACTCTGGGAAAACTGGGATCTAGGGCTGTGGGACAAAATGTACGAACCAGCGAACCCACTTTCTAAAACCATTCAGCAATGTCTCGCTTCCCTTAACATGAGCAGCTCCTGAACCAATCTCTGATCAGGGTCTCAGGGAACATATGACACATGTGGACAGCAAAATAACCTCACAGATCTCACACAGACGCTGTATCTCCATGAACAGGGGACAAAGAATCTGGTGGTTAACACTTTTTTAATAATGACCCAGCAGGTGCCCAAAGAAGAATGCTAAGGAAAAACAAAAAAGGATGAAGAGAAGCAGAAGATGGGGGAGAGGCTGTTGACTACAGCAAATTCCTTAGGATCATGCCACTAAACCCAAGCGAAGACCTCCCTACTACAGATCACTAAACACACTTTGCCCAAACTGACTCACCACACTAAAACCAAGCATTTGGAATAAAATTAACTTATTTTTATAATGTGAGGTTTGTTTTCTCAAAATAAAGTCCCAGTCAAACTTTTGTTTCCACTATACACGCAGTCATGACATTTTGTACTCTAGTTCAAGTGAATCACTCTGAGTGGCCTTTTTCCAGGACCAATTGTTTTTTCAGACAATGGGGGCTTCCTGCTTGCTGTCCAGTGCAGCAAACTTCAGCCATCATCAGGCTGATAAGATGATTCAAAACCAAGTCCTGGGAGATACGACAGAAGGAGATAAGCCTGGAAAGGATCCCACTGGTGGGGACCCCAAACACTGTGCTCACAGGCTGAGGGCTGCCCTTGCGACACTTTGAACAGGCTGAGAGGCAGAACACGGTCCAGGATGACCTTGGCTCATGGTTTCAGAGACTCTAGCCCAAGGTCATTTGGCCTTGTAGCTCTAGGCCTGTGGTTCTGTACCTAAGGTTAGAGGGTGTGGTGAAGGCCTGTTAAACGCTTGGCAGCTGAGGAGTAAAGAGAAGAGACCATTATACCAATATCCCTTCCAGCCCATGTCCCAGTAATCAAACTTCCTCCTGCTGGGCCCCACTTCTTAAAGGCTCCACCACCTCCATGAGGCACCACAGTCTGGATCCAAACTGTAGTAGATCTACACATTACTTTTTAGACATATGCATAATGCAATGTACACTTAATAGACCACAGTACAACTTCTACATGCACTGGGAAGCAAATCTACATGTTTCACTTTGCTGTGATACTCTGAATTGCAGCAGTCTGGAACAGAACCCAAAACACCTCAGAAGTAGAGCTGCACCCCGCCCAGGAGCCCCCCCAGAGCCTGGAGCTGATCACTGCATCCCCCTTCCTACTCTACCCACCCAGCTCCCCATCAGGTTATTCAACACAAGGACTAAGCTCATCTATACCTAGCCTCGCTCACCAGGATTGCCAAGTCCCTGTGGTGTGCGAGGCACTGTTCTAGGGGCAGAGGGTACTCCAGTCCCGGGAAACAATCAAAACTCTCCGCCCCTCAATGCTCACATGGTGGGAAGCACATTCCATCCCTTTTGCCTGCGCTCAGGAAGTGAGCACTACCCAGCCTCCAGCATGTCTCGAAGGCAAAGTGTACTAGGAAATGGAATTCATCGGTCAGAGTAAGTGGAGTCAGCAAGGGAAGTGGGTGGCATTTTAAGCGGAGTGCTCAAGAGAGTTCTCACTGACATGGTGACATTGCAGAGGCTTCCCTGAGAGGACATGGTAAAAGTGACTTCTGGGGAAGTAACTTGAGTCCTGGGGATAGATAGTCAAGAGGCTACTGCCCTAATCTCATTCCTTTTACATGTTCCTGGAGCCACTTCCCCCCAGTTTGTCTCTACAGCCTGCACCATAGCTAGACGAAAGCAAAAGCCAAGCAGAGACCTAGCTCTGGGCGGTAAACCTTATCCAGGCCCCAGCTTCCCTAATGCAGACCCCATCTGCCTCAGGCTCCTGGATCTGAGCCTCTTCTCACCATGGCTCCTGGCCTCCTCTGGAGCCTCCTGAGACAAACCCTCCAGGCTTCTTTTTCATTCAAACTGCATGTTGCTCAGATTCTAAAAACTCTTAAGAGTGGGAGGGTTGAAAAGGTTTATTTCAGAAAATTGGCAGTCAGGGGCTGCCACATTTTGTTGGAATTCCAGGGCCTGAAAAACATTTGGCAAAAGACAAAAAACAGTCTTAAACATAACTCGGTTCTAATTTCAAGATTTCCAGGTGTTAACAGAAAAAATACTCAGTAATCCTCTTATTTTTCTTAGTTTCCAAAGGTAATGTTCACTTTCCAACCCTTTCTCTCTTGGAGATGGCCACCACTCCTTCCAGTGCAGAAAGGGCTGCTCCTGTACCAAACAACTTTGAAGCACAAGGCATTCTCGCCTAATCAAAGAGAGTTTTGGTTCCTGGGAAAGATCAGAAAAATGCAGAGGCTTGTCTCTAATAAAATGAGTTTGCCCTTGTGTGACTCAATCTATAGCCCTTGTATGGGAGAGTGTTATACTACATATATAATGGGGATGAAGATAGAGCACTTGCCTAGCTCACATGAAGCCCTGGGCTTGATCCCCATCACTACAAAAACAAATAAATAATTTAAAAAGCCAAGTATGGTGGTACACACCTGTAGTTCAAGCTCTTAGGTTGGGACAGGAGGATTGCTTGAGCCCAGGAGTTTGAGACCAGCCTAGGTAACACAGCAAAACTCAGTCCTGTAGTAGTAGTAGTAGCAGTAGTAGTAGTAGTAGTAGTAGTAGTAGTAGTAGCAGCAGCAGCAGCAGTAGCAGCAGTAAAAATAAATTTTAAAATAGTATACCATAAGCCAGTCCTGGCAGTGCAGACCTGTAATCTCAGCACTCTGGAAAAGAGAGGCAGAAGGATTTCAAGTTTGAGCTCAACTTGGGCAAGTGAGCATCTTAGCCAGACCTTGTCTCAAAATTTAAAAGATTAAAAAAATTAAAAAGGTCTGGAGATGTGTGAAGGCCCTGTGTTCAAACACCAGTACCACCAGAAAAATAAAAATTAGAATCCTATACATTTCTGGGTTCATTTCAAGAAGGACACAGCCCTTCAACAAAAACTACATAGAGTTCAAAAGTGTCAACACCTAACCCTTAGAAGGAGATACTAGTGCTGATATCTAGAAAACACTGTACTCTGACGCAAAGCTCCTGGGATGAACACATGCTTAGGCCTAATTACTCCCCAGGTTCAACCCAAGTGCGACTGGAAATTTGTTGTTGTCGCTGCTGTTTTTGAGGTGCCACTGTGGCTCAGGAAAAAGAAGGCCACCAGGAATTTCTCCACTTGGTGGGCTGGAGTCAGCCAAGGGTACTCCTTCCCAAAAGGGCCATTTCCAGGAGGTCCTATAGCCAGCTGGCAGAAAGAAGCACTGGACTTAGAATTGTCTCACTCAAAAAGGCATCTGCAGTTCTCCCGTTGAGGGGAACCAGAGCCCGTGGCCAAGCTGCAGAATCTGCCACTTTCAAGGCCCGAGTCTCTGGGACTCTTCCAGCTGGCACAGTAACTGGGATGGGGGCGAAGACCGGGTAGGGCAACTCCTAGGAAATGCTGGGTTATGAAAAAAAAAGGGTCATCCAGTTATGAGCTCTCAGAAGACCCCCCTATGGGGGAGGAATGTGGCTGCCGGATGCCTCCTGGCTCAGAGCCCTTTGCGGCTTCAGGATAAGTACACACCCAGGACTTCCCAGGTCCTGCTGATGTCTGCTGTCCAGGCAGTTACCACAGCCAGCATTTAGTTCACTCTCCAAAGTGTCAGAGTTTGAATCCTAAGTCATACTTCTGCTCTAAGGAAAGAAAACTGAGTTACTAGAGATTTTGCTGGCTTAGCTGCATATTAGGTCACACATCTCCAAGCCCAGCACTGCCCCCAGGATAAGAAATAGGCAAGATACAGTAAGCAGTGTGCAGACAACCTGCAAGTCAATGAAGGAAGACTTTGGAGAGGAGGCAGAACAGTATGGTGATGACATAAGTGGGAACCAGAGAGACTAGGTTTACACTTTGGGGCCCTCCTGCTTCAGACTGGGGATGTGAACAAGTCACTGAGCATCTCTTTGGAATAACAATAAGGAAGAAAGTAATTGCTACAAGGATTGATGGGTTAACATTTGTAAAGTGCTAAGAATAGTGTGCCTGGCCCTGGGGAAGCATTCTATGAATGAGTACAAATAAAGGTGCAGTTTTATGCGTAATAGCTAATAAATTTCTGAAAGGATGTCAAGACAGGGCAAGAAAACTCTTCTCAAACAATGCTCAGATCTCCTTCCCACTCAAGGGCCTCTCACCTGCACAAAAACCACCCATGCCCGACCTCAGATAGGGCTGACTAGGCACGGGGTGCAGGAAACAGTAATGAACTCCATGCCACAAGGCCTCTCTGAATTTCAAGTGGCTCGTGATCAGCTACACAACAAATTCATACAATGAAATCAGCTGAAGTAGAACAAAGAAACAAAGACAAATGTCCCAGGTTGCAGCTGGCAGTTGGAAGCTATGGCCATCAAATCCCTCCCTTTATTGTTTTCATGCAGACAACATGAAGAAAGAACCCACTACCTCACACAAGCTTGGCAAGTGTAACTTAGCACACTTACATCAGACTCAGGACTTCAGCAAATCTAAGGCATGCCAGTGAGATACACTCAGAGCCACAAATTTATGCTGAAAATTGTTAGAAATCTCACATACATAAAATTCCATGGGATGAATTACTGAGAAACCTCCTTAGTTCCTCCCAGGGACACCTCTCCACCATAGTGGAGCACTGTACTCGAGAATATCATCACATACAAGTGTGCAGAAAAGAAAAATTATTGAACACACAGACACTCGACTTTGTGAAAGCATCATCTTAATCATTCAGCTTTTAATTCTACAAAGTAGCTCTGCCTTTAAAGTACTTTCAACCTTTCCGGCAAGATTTGAAATCCTTGTTAAAATGACTAATTCCTATGGAACAAAACAGCTGTTTGTAAAGAAGCGATTCCCCAGGACCCCACGGCACAGTTCCAACCAAATTCAAGGCCTGGGAGAAATGGGCAGCACAAGCAGGACAGCGGGGATGGGAGGCAATTCCACCAAGCACTAAGAATACCAGAAGGACTGCAAGTGTGGGTACTGATGTATTCGGGCACACACACACTTGTTTTTACGTCAATAGCAGAGCACTTATCTATTCTCTCGGGTGAGTCACCAAAGGGTATGCGATTCCATTCTTCAGGTTTTAAAACCAAATAACTGGAAAGAATGCAGAGGCATGCCACAAAAACATCAATACCAAGCAAGGGAGATTTTGAAAAAAGCAGGAAATCTTTGCTGTGGTACAGCCTGGGGCAAGGAAAAACTACTCCAAACACTTTCCTTTCAAGAGAACCAAGGCTTTCAATCTTTTCTAGCATATTCAATATTTTCTTAATACATGGAAAAAAAGAAGTCATTTCCAGCATTACTCCTCAACTATCTGGGAGTTTTACAACTCTCTAAAACAGGCAAGACCAAAGAGACGCACGTTAATCACCACCGTTTGCATCGATTTCATTAATGTAATATAAATTTCTTCCAAAATAATGAATCTAGGTGGGGAGTTGAACGATACCTAAATCAGACCCTACACAGAATTCCAATCGCCCCCATTTTAGAGGAACCGCTTTATCAGGAAGGGGATGGCCGGGCACTGCACTTCTTGGCCGGAAGGAGCCCGGTCCCGCGGGGCCGTGGGAGTCCAGGGGCGGCCCCTCCAGCAGCTCCTAAGTGCGGGCCGCGGCTCGGCGCACCCCGAGCCCTAG